GTTATATAAGATTTGCACATTATTCTGTGAAATATTTTATTGCAATATATTCAATTGTGGTGTTTAAATTTTGAATTATATGGATCTGTGTACACTCAAACTGACCTCTCCATGCACTAGCTTTAAAAGTTCTTGTATGCATTGTTTGAATACTATATTCATTTTGGCCAACTCAGGTTGTTGTAGGTGACATGTTCTTTAACTTCTCTGACTGCATTATTAGAATGTCCATTTGAGTTGTTCTGGCTCAGTAATCTTGACTGTATACCTTTTTTATCTGCATTTATGTTAATATACTGTTTAATTTGACTTTCTTCTACAGCTGGCTGCACCTTTGAAACCCATAGCGACATTGGTCCCTGCGAAGTGACACAAGGCACAGAAGATGATTTTGATTGGCGCAGAGTGCAGGATCCTCATGGGAACCCTGATTTACCTCAAGGTGAGCACCCAGGTAGCCAATGCACATTTCTGTGGGTCCAATCTGTGTGTACCAGGAAGAAAGCAGCTGCAAACCATTACAAATATTAAGGGGTCTATTCACAAAAGGGTGTTTGGAGAAGACAGGAAAAGTGAACAAACAAGGACAACATAGCTGATTTGGAAAGATTCTCACTTTCCAGTTCAGCTATGTTGTCCTAGATTGTTTACTTCTCCTGCCTTCTCCAAACTCTTCACCCTTTTGTGAATAGACCCCTAAAATATGTCTTCTTATAATATCATTTGAGCACCTCTATTACTTTGATCCATTGATTTAATATCTACCCAAACAATGCTAAGAAAAAGTTCTATTCTTCTGGTCAGAGTTAATGCACATGAGTGAAGCTGTGTAACTGACAAGATTCAGCTTTAGCTTACTGCTCTAATACAAGATGCTAGCTCCAGGCACATATAGCACACACCAACACTGTAATACACTTCAGGAAAGACAAGAGTATACTAGTGTTTGGTTTGTATGTATTTTAACACTGACCTATCCTGTGCATGGACATCTCTGTTCCGCCTAGAGGTGAATGAGATCCATCTCTCACAGCAAATGTGTTTCAGAGCTGAGAAATGTAGTTCACACAAAGCTAGGTCTCTTCAACACACATAGCTAAATACATGAATCCTTGGTCTGTGCTCTGAACCCTTGTAATTAGTTGTCATGATTTAATTTTTTTGCCTTGGTGGAAACACTTCTATCTTAGCCATTTTCTCTGATGTCCACACAGAATCTTGGGGCTGCCAGGTAATGCAACCACGTTGCCCTAAGTCAAGTTACAAGCATAAGGATAGTGCACACTGGTGTACAGATTTTTAAATCTCCAAGTTTAAAAGATAACTATTGCCCAACCTCGTTTGCCATAGTTCTCTTTAGGGTCACAGGAGCACATTTACTATTGCCCTCCTGTGACCCAAACCTCAGCATTTAGCACAGTGCCGCTCTAGAAGTAGAGCCAGATGTGCCCACCCCCTCCCCTGTCTGTTCCTCAGACCTCTAGTCAGCGCTGGAGAATGGAGATGGGAGGGGGAATCCCTGCGGGGAACGATGACTGACATTCACCGTTCACTGCAAGGAGAAGAGCGGGAACTGAGCGATCAGTGGTATGTGACCCCTTAGTTCTCAATCAATAGAGCCAAAGTATGATAGCTTCAATGTCACATGTCGGATCTAATTATGGGGCACAGTGTATTTTACTTTCCACAGAATTCTCCTTTTACCATGTCTGCTCTTGCACATGTATACTTTTTTTTTAGGACCAGAGCAGTTTTTATATTTCTGCTGTGGACCCATTTATTTGGTGATAACTTTGTCATTATTTAAAATGACACTAAACTCAGGAGTTAAACCTTAGAAACTGCATTTGAGTACCTTAACTATTAACAACAATGTATCTTATTTTCTGTTTAACTCGTCTGTAGACCCTCAAATCATCTCTGACTTTGTGCTGACACTGTCCTACCTTCTGGAGGGTTGATATGTTTGTTCCCCATGGTCTCAGTGTGTGTTGTTGAGCTTGCAGCGGAGGCTACTTTACAACACACACAGTAACCAGCCTTTTAACGAGGCTTGCTTTTGGAAATAATGTTTTGAGAAAAAAAGTAGTTTTACTTTTGTAAACAAAAAATATACATTTTATCCTATAAGTTGTTCCATTTAAATTGACATTAAAATTATGTTTCTTGTACAAAGCATGGCAAGTTAATTTACAGTTTTTTTACAGTTTTTAGTTATGTGACGTTGAAGAAAGTAACATGAATAAAAATATATTAATGGTACAAAAATAGATAAAAAAATACAGCAGAAAAACAATAGTTATGGGCAGAAGGGGTTATTAGAGCTGATTAGCATTAACTGGGGGTTATTAAGGGGTTAAATAGGAATAAGATTTATTTAAAAAAAAAGTTAATTGTAAGATTTATTTAAGTGATGTCATATGCAGAACAAAGGTCACACCTATGATTTACATACAAAAAAATGGTAAAAACAAGGAAACAATCCATTGATTTATTGAATTTACTGAATGGCATTTGCAGACTATAGGCATTTTGACAGCTGCCCCTGCTGTGTAATGCAAGGCATTTACAGGCCATCATTTGGATAGCTAGCCGGGGCAGAAGAACCGGACAGAAGAGATGTGTCCTACAAATGTGGTTGACATTTTTAGGATGTAATTCTTAGGCTGAAAATCCTCAAATAGTTAAAATATATCTCAAGCTGTTTTTTTTTTATAGATTGGGTTAAGACCTCTTTCAGGTTTGTTTGCTGTCTGTGTTCCCTCTGGGAAGATTCAACCACTCTATATTTGTCCAAGTGCTAGGAAGACGAAAGTCGTGCGACCCCACAGTAGATGCGGGCGCACGCTGCCCATACACCTGCCGATTATCGTACGATCGCGAGATCACCCGCGATTATCGTACGATAATCGGCAGGTGTATGGGCACCTTGAGAGGGGATTTCCTCTCACTGTGGAGAGATGTTTTATTACATCCTGTTGTGTCTTTAGGACCATTGGTAAAGGAAAAATCTCCCAAACAAGACAGATAGCAAAAAAAAAAAAAACATTGTATAAAAAAAATAGAACCTGATAGAGGATTTCAACATTCACTACTCTATAAAAGAAAAAACCCCTAATGATGGCTTTAGATACACTTTTGTATATGTCCCCTCATGTCTGTATTTTCTATTTAGTGTTTTGCGTACTTTGTTATTGTTGTGCTAGCTTCTTTTTTGGTTCTTCTTTTGCGTGAAATACCAGGAAAATCTTTTAATTCTGTCTCATTAAGTATACTTTATGTCATGATCCCTAACAAGTCATCCATTTACTTCATGTCATTATCCCTGTGCTTTGCATTGTAATGATTCTTTTTCTCATTGATGTGGTTTTCGTATACAGGTTCTTACCTCTTGGTTAACTCGTCTGAACATGCTGCAGGGAAACGGGCTCAGCTCTTCTTTCAAGCTCTAAGTGAAAATGACACCCACTGCCTGCAGTTCAGCTATATTCTTCATAGCAGAGACGCCAGGGGTCCTGGCTCATTGCGAGCCTATGTGCGAGTGAATGGAGGTCCCCTGGGCACAGCTGTTTGGGAAGTTTCAGGGCCACGTGGAAAGCAATGGCAACAATCAGAGCTTGCTGTGAGCACTTTCTGGCCCAGTGAATACCAGGTAACTACACTTCTTTAACTGATTAAACAATACGGGTTTTGAAGGCATAAGCTGTGATATTATATTTCACCAGTGATTAGAAGCTACACAATCACAACTAAAAACCTTAAGTTACAGTAAGAATCTTCCTTTGGTGCCACTATAGTAAAGTAGCCAGAGGCAAGAATTCCATCCTGCCCCCTGGACCAAAACAAAGCCTACCATCTTTCTGTCCTCACTTCAAAGGCTTGGTAGCATCTGTCTTTACTGCAAGGTGACCAATGAGTTGTGTGCTCAGGTGTCCTTCCAGGAGAAGAAAAGAAAATGTCACAAGGGGATAAATAGGGGCTACAAAACATATTACTTGTACAAGTAGTTTCTTAGAACTTTTGCACTTATTTCTCAATGATACCTTAAGAACACTTGTCTTTAGACTTCAGAATTGAGAACAACTTGGCATAAGTATTTTACTATGGTTCTGTGTAAGTGATGAAAAGCTTAATTCACGGAGCTACCACACACGATAAAGATCCTTATTTTCAATTGGATAGTTATTTTTAGCTGAGGTTTAACAAGTACTGTCACATGTCTCAAAATAAAGATCCTTTTGCTTGTGTTAAAGATTTATAAATTGAACTTTAAAGAGTAACTCCACTTTTGTTGAGAAGAAATGGATCCCCTCTGGGTGATCTGTGCACCTTACAAGAATTCTAACCAATTTTGTTGCAGATTACTATCTGTTTCTGTTCTGAAGAAATAGATGTTTGTTTCACCATGTCCTTTTCAAACTGATTCCTGAATGGGAGGGTCGAGTTCATTGTAATCAGTACAAAACACCTCTAGGTTGCCATATTGCATTGAATTGTGTTGACAGATTTAGAATATTACAGTGGCTACAGTTTTAAATAGAAAGGTAATTTTTAATAACATTACATTACAAAATGCCTTGTGCAACAATGTATGCTATATTTGTTTTGTTTTTTCCATTTTTCTTTTAATGGAGTTACCCGTTTTTAAAAGTGGAGTATAGCAACTGCTATAAGGTGTTGACGTTTAACTCCTTTTCTTAGGCTGGTTGCAACCAATTAGCTTCTCTCTTCAGTTTGCTCAGGTAAGATTTGAAAATGAGACAGAGAAGCTGATTGGTTGCAGTGCAAATGTGCTCCACTCTTGATACATTGTCCCCTGTATCTCGTAAAAACATGCATATTGCATCTTGGTGCACTGCAGTGCCATTGCACCTTGCCCATGGATGTGCGTTGCAGCTCACCACCATGCACTACTGTAAGTTGTGGTGCATTGCATTATAAAAAAATAGTGCATGCACCTTTTTTGTCGCATTTTGGTGTGTTAGCTAGCCTAACCAAATGAATGAGTTGCATTAGCGCAACCCACGTTAAAGCACAATGTAAGGCACGTTAGCACACCACAGATGTGTGAACCCAGGCTAAATGTTTAAAAAACATAGTGAAGCTGATTTATGGAATGAACTGCTGGTATGACTAGATCCGGTGTACAACACATCTAAATAATACACACCAATTGGTGGTCCACATCTGATGGCTGTTTTTTTTGCACTCTTTTACTTAGTTTAATGTCATTCATCTGTCCTTATTCATATAGACCTACATTTTTATTAATGTTTACTCTTCTCAGGGTCCCTGCCCTGAAAAGCCTTTCACTACATATACCTGTTCTCCCTGAGTTGCCCAGCCCACCAGTAGATGCCCTAAACCAAGTGGTAATTTTTTGCAGTTGATATTGGACTACCGAACAGCCAATCAGATGCTGCCCTGCTCCCAGCAGAATTCAGCCCACTGCTGTTATTGTAAGGGGCCTCACCTGTTTTTTAAAACCAAAAATATTTTAACTGAATGATACTATTTTTCTGTATGCAAGAAGACCATAGTCCTTTCTCCTTGTCTCTTAATAATTCTGTTAAATAGATTCTTTGTGTCCGCCGGCTAATAACGAAAATTGCTCTTAACATTAGCTCTGTTGTATCCGGCAGAACAATATTTTCTTGTTTTTAAGACTCAAAACCCAACTAAGCTAAAGTCTTTTGGTGGAGTTAGGAACCCCATGTAGGTGTTTGGAAAAATTATCCAATTCAGCTCACTTTCCAGTTTAGCTATGTTGTCCTAGATTGTTAGATTGTTCACTTCTCCAGCCTTCTCCCAACTCGTCACCCTTTTGTGAATAACCCTGTCTGTTTGCAGTGACATAAAAAAACCTGAGGATCTAATTATCTTGTACTAAGGGAAAAAAAATATGAAGGGAGTTGTTTTCTAAATATATAATAAATTACTATCTTTTAAATACACCAAAGACAGAAATGGCAATAAAACAAATTGTTTAGTAGAATAGGCACCTCATTTCACCCTCTGACACATAATTGTTTACCAGTTCTTATACTGGCTTAAAAAAGTACAGGGGTTTTCTGGTCCCCCTTTGTCTTCCTATATTCAGTTCCTGAATGTGGTATGTGGTATAATTAGGGCTAACATATTGTTATGTGAATGAAGGGGAGGTTGTCCTCTTCACTTCATTGTGTCTTCACAGATGTCAGTCAGCTTTTATAGTGCTTATTTTACTAACCATAAAAGTATGTTGCTCACTTGCTTTCTTTTGTTCTGCTGAGAACAGAAATATTAACTGTCACTTTTCAGCTACATAGTTATTTAATGTGTCTGGAGTAATATGGCACTTTTATTGTCACAGGCCAGATTTTGGTTATTGATGTTTGAATACTAATAGACTTGTGCTGAATATACTTGAAACAGTATGACTGTTTTATAGGAATCGTCTCAATGAAAGGATCTAATCTTTGGAAGACGATTGCATTAATGGAGAAGTATTGTGAGAGTAAAATATACTCTTCTTAAAGGAGAACTATGGGGTATACTGAGCTTTGGGTCACGGGAGGACGCTAGTTTGTGTCCTCCCGTGACCCTGGGGAGAACTATGGGGAAAAGCACTGACCCCATAGTTCTCCTTTAATACTTAAGAGGCAGGAGTACCTGGGACACTGCAGCCGTCACACACTGGCTCTGTATACCAAGGTCTGAGTGATTGTATAATCGCTCATCGCTCGGCTCATGATCTTCTCCCTGCAGAGAGCAGTGACTGTCAGTCATCATCCCCGCAGAGATTCCTGGGGTGGACACAGCTGGCTCATGCTCTAGACAGTTGTCAATCAGGAAACCAGGTAGACCCCAACAACATTGGGATGCAGTGCGGCGGTAGGCTGCTATATGTTGAGTTTGGATCACAGGAGTACATTAATAAATGTACTTCTGTGACCCAAAAGAGATGTATAGCCAAAAAAAGGTTTGGCTTTAATTCTCTTTTAATCGATAGTTTTGAATTATGAACAGCTGTTATAACGGAAAAAGAACAATTGATGCTGATGGGAAAAATCCAGTTGAGTTTGACCCAATTTATCTTTTCACTGAGCAATTTTTTTAAATATATGTGGCCAGCATTAGACGACCTAGACATTGTTGGAAATACACCAGCATAGACTGTAACTATGTCTTTTGAGCACTAGATGGCACTGTAGTGCAATGTTAGTCCCTATGCTGATCATTGTTTTATCTATGATATATACAGGAAGTTCTATCTGTATATATGTTTCCTTATAATGCTGTATTCCTGTATACACACATGTAACGTTCTGCTAAGCAAGTAGATCTTAACTTAAGATCTCAGTGCTTCATCTCAACACATAACCAACAGGCATTAGATGGCAGTCTGAAGAATTGAGACATTTCAAATGTTTATTTGTTTACAGATGACCACATATGTTACAATTAGATTGCATAATAAATTTTAGCTTTACCAACAGCTATGTAGTGCCAGGGTCTACCTGATTGGACATAAATTAATAACAGATAGCTAAAGTGACACTAAACTCAGGAGTTAAACCTTAAAAATGCATTCAGATATCTTCACTATTAACAAAAATTTGCCTTATTTGTGTATCACTCAGCTGTAGTTCCTCAAATCATCTCGGAGTTTGTGCTGACACTGACCTTCCTTTTGGAGAGTAGTTACTTTTGTTCTCCATGGTCCCCGTGTGTGTTGTAAAGCACCAGGGGCCTTTAGGTCTGGTAGGAATTTTAAGGGGGAACCCCACCCCCAAAAAACTGGAAAAAAGAATGTGGGGTCCTCCCTAAAAATCCTACCAGTCCCTTGATCCGATGGCCAGCTCCGCTCATTTGTTTTGATTTGGCCGTGGCCTGAGAAGACCCACGAACGAATCAAAACAAATGGGTGGAGTCGGCCGTGACGTCAACCTCAAGCTCTATGTGTATGTTGACATTTGGCCGGCTGCTGTCATTTGGCGGTGTGTATTCGTCGGGTAAGGATGGGTCGGCAGGCATCAGGCTTTTCTTTATTTCGACAGGTCTGTGGTGTCATTGACAATGCTGGGCGCCGTGATTGTCCATTGGATTACTTCGAGGGATGCATTTTTTATTTTGTGATAAGTTATATTTTCTCATATAACTTGCTTGCTTGGGGAGACCCTGTCACATAATAAAACCACTTCTGCCACCTGCACTTTGTTGTAGAGAACTGGTTTCCTGAAGTCTGCCACCTGCACTTTGTTGTAGAGAACTGGTTTCCTGAAGTCTGCCACCTGCACTTTGTTGTAGAGAACTGGTTTCCTGAAGTCTGCCACCTGCACTTTGTTGTAGAGAACTGGTTTCCTGAAGTCTGTTGTGAAACTAACACTTCCAGGAGTGTTGAAGTCTGTGGTCCACAGCAGCTCTCACTGGTTCCTACTACTTTCCTCCACATCAGTTCAAGAGAGATTAATAACATCAAGGTCAACGGAAACCAGGGAAACTACTGTGATTGATGTCATGGAGTATTCAGTCTCTAATTTACACGAATGTGCTTTGCTGAAATGGTTTTATTATGTGACAAGGTCTCTAAGTAAAAAGAAACTTTACCCACCAATTTAATGTCTGTCTGTTTAATTTCTTTCAAGGCATGACAACTGTCAAGGTTACCAGTGTGCTTTTTTCCACTCTCCACCAAGCTTTCTAAGCCAAGATTAGATAATGGCTGGTGTCATATCTAATCACAGATCAGGTGCAAAATAGAAGCTAAGATGGCACCTATGTTGGCTGTAAAGGATGGGAGGGTGTATTTGCACTTAGAAAAATGGATTCAGTGTTAACTGGATGAATGTAGCTGGCCACTTAAAGAGGAACTTCACGGATATCTTTAAAATAACAACAAACACACCTTTAGTAATATTTTTAGTAATGACAATTTACAAACACATACTTCTAGATAATTGCCGGCTTTGTATACTTTACCTATCTTCTCTTTTCTTCCCCAATCTTCTGACAGTGGCCATGTTAACTAAGGGCAGATTAGTAGCTCTCCATTTACTTCCTGGAACTCTGACACATGTGACTAGAACATGTGACCATGCACATCATCCCAGGGGAGGAAAATGCCTTTCTGTGAGATCTCATGAGATTACAGATGAGATTTCCCAGCAATGCTCTGCTGATGTAACCTTCCCAGGATGCAATGCTGTGGCACAATACATAATGTGTGCCAGAAGTGGACCAGGAAGTAGAACTTACTCTATTTGTAAGTACATGAAAAAAAAGTTTGTTTAGCGAACAAATGTAAGATGATTTTATATCAGCATGCAGAGCTGCACACTGAGGTGATTTTTAGTGAAAGTGGGAAAAGATCCACTTTAATGGCACAACGTCTAGGCATTCTATACACTGATTGTGTCCTGCCATATTTATGTTGTTTTCTTGTCTTTTATTTTAGGTTTTGTTTGAAGCAGAGGTGTCTGGAACTCCTCAAGGATTCATTGCATTGGATGATATTCTACTGCTAAGTTACCCCTGTGGTGAGTATATAGTACCTAATAAGATTTTTAAACTTAATCAGTTAAGTAGTGCCAATGGAAAAGATCAGGAGCAAAGTGCAGTAATACTTAAAATACCAATTTCAGATTTCTGTAGAGCATTGATAGAGAAGGCAACTGTATTGTCAAATTGATACCTTTCAGTGGCTAACTAGCGGGGAAGGAGACTGGCAAACATTCGTTCGCTGATCTCCTCCCTGCTGAATGTGTGGTCCCGTAGCTGTCATTGCTCTGATGCAGAAGCCAAGCAATAAGCTATTGGACCCCTATTGCCACCTTACAGAGTACCTGCCACTACTAATATGCTATCCTATAGGGGGCTTGTAAGCTTCCCTATGTGATAGCAATTAAATAAAGTTAAAAAAATAGAAAAAAGCTTTAAACAAAATTGTATTAAAATAAATGTAAAAATAATTTTAAAATGTTTGTTAAAGTCCCCAACCCCCGCGAGCACGCACGCATTAACGCAAACACACGTCGGGTGCGCCAGAGTAAGACCAATAATTCTAGGCCCTATATTTATGGATATCTCTAAACTTGTGACCTCTTTGGGCTTTTAAAGCATCACCTATGAACAATTTAGGGTATCATATTTTGTCGCCTGTTTCACGGATGCGCGCAATTTTTTACCTGGGCATGTTTGGTATCTATTTACTTATTGTAACCTCATCTTTTAGATTTTTTGGACACTAAAATTAACTAAAGTGCATTTATTACTAAATATTAGGGTTTGATAAAGAGTTACGCCAATATCGTGCAACATAAAAAAATTGCTATTGCCACCATTTATTCTACAGGGTCTTTGCTTAGAAAATATATAATGTTTTGGAGGTATTAAGTGATTTACAGGCCTAAAGTGTGGATTATAACGTGTGCAAAAAAAGAAAAAAAAAGGCCTTGGCAGCAAAATGGTTAACGGGTCTGTCACTTTTTTTTGGCTTTCTACAGTTTACTGTAGTCAGGTGTAATTGGCTGGTACGGGTTATGGTGCTTTATTGTAGTGAGGTATGATTGGTTGGTACGGGTTATGGCACTTTGTACATGGACACTGAACTTTGTACTCGTTATTGAATAAGCAGCTGTTGTAGCGATTCCCAATCTTCATCATCTCCCCTCCTTTTGTTTGCAGCCCAGGCCCCACACTTCTCTCGTCTGGGTGAGCTGGAAGTGAATGCTGGGCAGAATGCCACATTCCAGTGTCCTGCTGCTGGCCGGGCAAACGATGGAGAAACTTTCTTACTGCAGGTATTTCCTTTCTCTTGAAGGCCGGGATGAATATAGTGAGGACAGGTGTCTGAAGGAGGAATTGGGTGCTTTGCTGAGAATGAGATATGCTTCAAGGAGAGGCAGAGTTGTTGTATCAATGACACAATTCCTCAGCATGACTACTTTATTGTGTTTATTCACTTGCACATTAGACTGTTCTGTGTGATGCAGATGAACACAAAGTACTGGAGATAAAGGCGGTATAAGGTTTCTATGACAACAACTTGAACAAATGATGGTGCTCACTGATAGTGTAACTTTAGTGTAATTAGGGGCTGGTATTTTCCTGGGAGATGAGTTGACTCTGTGCGGAAGCATTCAGCTCTTATTTCATTCATAAACCAAATGTTCCTATTCATTCAAGAGTAATGTAATTATAACATTGTTGCAGGATGTACTCAAATGAATTGTTTGTGGCAGACATTAGTCTAATCCAATCCCAAATATGAGGCTCTTTAAAGAAAACTACATTTCCATTAAAATCGATGTTACATATAATTGCTACACAAGGCATTTTGTAATTTGATGCTTTTATAATGACTTTCCTATTTCAATCTGCAGCCAGCTATGATTTCTTTAAATTGGGAAAAAAGTTCAGTTTTATATTTGTACAGTTACAGTACAGTTTATAGATGGAAATTCCCAGACTTCAGCTTCTTCCAGAAGTCTCCACATAGTTTGGGTTCAGGCTAGAGACATGCCCTAAAATGAGTCTAAGTGCTGAAGTGCAGGTCACATCAATCCCTGAGTCCCTGTGGTGCTCCTTGGATCCCAGGATAGGTTCACTTCAATAGTTTAAAGCTGAACTCCAGGCAGATGTAAAATATTGATTTAAGTTACTTGAAAAGGGAGAAGTAGAACAAAGAGCCAATCAGCTGTGCTACAGTGCTCATCTGCTAACAAGGGACATGGAGATAGGCCGAGAGATCAAAGTAACACTGAGATAAGCTCATCAGTCTGCTGCTTTTCCTTTCACTCCCCAGCACATGCTGGGGAACGGACAAGATAAGGGGTGGCTCAGTGCTTAGCACTTATGTCTAATAGCACTGAAATCTCTCTCTGTGCTTGCTTGGGTTTCCCCTGGGTACTTAAGTTTTCTCCCACACTCCAAAAACATGCTGGTATGGTAATTGGCTCCTTCTAGAATGTGTATGTTTGCATGTGAGGTTGGAAACGTACAGTAGATTTTAGACTCCTTGATGTGAATTAATGGTATGTAAAGTTCTGCATAAATTGGCAGTGCTATATAAGTGCCTGTAATAAATAACATAAATTAGACCTGTAACTGCAGCAAAAATTCAGTCTTTTGCCATGCCAGAAAGATTTGTGATGTATGGCATAGCTATGTAAATCTCAGAACAGGATGAACTGAAATACAAATCCTTTGGCAGGTATAACAACTCCCTTAAATTAATTTCATCTGTGCCTTAGCTGTTTGCTGTTTAACTTTAATCCTTTATGAGGCACTTGTGAAGAAGCTACACCACTAAAGGGATATAGTGGTGGAGGTGGTGGTGGGGCGTTGCAATGTATCTTATTACAACACTGAGACTGATTATTTGATTATAGTAGGCAGAACCTCACACTTAGCAGTCACTTTCATTAAGAACACCTAAATGAAATATCTTAATAATAATAGGACGAAAGAGGTAGGAATCTGCCATAAACCGTTGACAGAGTATAGAATTTACTTGTAGGGGTTTTTTTTCAGCAAAATTCAAGTTTCGCTTTCAACCTGTTTTTAAGCAGTTGCATTTATTGTTTGGTTTATAGAGGCAAAATGGAGGCATTATCTCAACAGGGGTAATACAGCACATCAGCCACTGGCGACTGCTGGCCTCCTTCCAGCTCTTTGAAGCTGGGCGTGAGGATCAGGACCTGTACCGCTGTGTGAGCCGCTCCATTTATGGGGCTGGAGTGTCTAACTTTGCTGAGCTCGTAGTGAAAGGTGAGAGTTGTTGGGATCAGATTTGCATGCATGCCGCTATGTATCTAACATACAGTCATTTTGAATGTAGAACACACAAAAGTGGGCTTCATGTATCAAACTGCCTTAGCATGGAAACTGAACAAATAAATGTCAGTAGATATTTGACCAAAACCCATGTAGTTGCCACAGTTTTGCCTTTTTTGATTCTGCTGTCAGCTTTTCTCTGTTGTAGAGAATGGTGTAGTTATAGGCTCCTTATTTTTGAAAATGTCTGAATTAAGGTATATGTTAGGTCCAAAGTTGTTTTTTTTAATTATGGATAGAGTGGTGACAACCCCTGTTAAATTTTTATTGGTCTTTGTGTTATGAAAATTCACTCTCTCTACTGTATTTATCCTAGTGACCATTGTCACTGAGACTTGAATAATGTAGATCTAAATTGTCTTAGAATTGTATTCGTTCGAGAAAATTTTTCCACCCTGTTCGATTTTTTCACTGCTTTCAAAAACGATTGTCAGTTTGACCCTGTTAACTATTATAAAATTGAAAACAAATGTTTTGAACAAAATTCTACTGGGAAATGGCCAGCTTTAGGGAAAACCAAAACTTTAAGTTGGCACCAGAACAGGAATAGAGGGGGAAATCTTCCAAAGGAATGCTTGTTCCTGATACAACTTTCTAAGAGGGGAATTCTCACATTTTGGTGAGATCTTTTCTTACTTACTGTTGTATTTACAGGAAAGGAAATTATGGAAAACACCCCGAAATGGTTTATACCATTTCCTACTTTATCCAAGATGAAAAATCTTTTTTGCCCTTAGATAAACATTAAGATTTGTTTTCATTGCCTGTAGCAACCTACTACAGTTGCCTTTTCAACTGTTTAGCCCAATAACTTCCTTAAATGTCAAAGATACTGTGTAACAGCCAAAATGTTCCTATATGCACAACAAAAATTGATACAATATTTTTAAAAGTAACTTGAATGCAGTGAGTGTTTCTAATTTTTTTAGAAAGATAAGCAAAGTAAACATTATCCTTAGCAAAGTACTGTATACATTAGCTTTATTCCTCAAAAACACATAGGTGCATCATGTATACTGAGACATTTTATTCAATATATGGTTCATTTGTAATTTATCTTACCCTATTTTATAGGCTTTATTTGCTGAAGTATATGTCATTTCGATTAATAAAGTTGTCAGATGGGCCCAGAATAAATACTGTCAGACTCCCTTGAATGCTCTGCTTGTCTCCTAAGTCTGGCGCGAGCTACACGATGCAACATCAGAGCAGTTACAGCAGACTGGATGATTCCATCAGCCTTGTTCTGTACAATCAGGGAGTCTATTTGTATACGGATCTGCCAGTAAGATCTGGAAAACACAGCAAAGTTAAAATGGAGAAAAGGAAATGAAAATAAACCTATAATTTGCCCATTAAGGGCAAAGTAACAGATTTGCTAGATATGATACCGCTGCATTGCTCATACTTACCTTTTACTATGCTCCCCTGCCACCTGGTCCACCTGCGAGAAAGTCAGTACTTTAATATATGGGCAGCCATGTTATTTTACCCCTTCTTTGCAAAGTACAAACACATGTGCTTGAGTTGCCAGTTGTCAGTCCCAAATGCTGTCATGAGGGGGTGGAAGAGCCCTGTGTAAGCTCCAATCCTCACTGACCGGGATCTTAAGCTAAGTCATACATGGCTCAAATGTTGGCCTACTCCTGGTGAATTGGCACGACCCAGCTTGACAAAAGTTGATTTAAAAATCGACTGAGCCAGGTGGGAAAATATTGGTTTAACAGTGACTGTCTGGTACTAGTACTGTTTGGGTATTTAGACAGCCATAGGTGCCAGGTGCCATGGCTGTCTGAAAACAGTAGCTGACAGGGCAGATTCTTCCATCCACGTTAAACAGTGTGGATGGAGGAATCTACTGATTTTCTCTCATTCAGCCTGCTGGCTGCACAGAAAAAAATCTAACTGTATATGGCTAACTTTACAGAGGGATCTCTGGTAGACAAATAGGATAGTGGGGGAATGAATGGTAAGTATGAATGGTAAACCTATCAAGCAAATCTGTTATTTTGCCACGTATGGGCAAGTAAAGATAAACTTGAACTCAAGGTGCATTTGCAAAGTCTCAAGGTATGAAACAATTTAAAGTCCAACTTCAAACACATTTTTTGTTCTCATTATCGATTTAGTTGGTTGGATCCCCTAGCTCTCTCCTCCACACAGGGGGGAGGGCACAGTAAGCAGTGGCCAGGTGCAATAGCCAGCCTGCCATTGCAATTTGAAATGGCCAATATCAGGCTGGCTATTGCACCAGTCCACTACCTGCTGTATTTACATTCAGCTACTGTCTGCGGAATCGTGCCACTGGGAGCTGTCATTTCCTGGGTGAAGCTATTCAAGCGCCATGTGCTTACCATACAATTAATTAAAAATGATAAAGGTGGGACAAAAGTCATTTTCGGTTTCAGCCTGACAAATTCTGCTGCTGGAGGTGTGGCACCGCAAATGCGCCTCCAATCCACAGTGTGATCGCCCACACTGGAACGCATGGTACACATTTGTGTATTTTATTTTGAATTAAGGATGGTATTTTTAATTTTTTTTTAATCAGATTAATCGATAAAATAGTGAGCCACCTAATCGATTATGAAAATAATCATTAATTGCAACCCTACAAGAATTTCTAAACGTTCGACTGTCTAAAAAATATTTTAACTGGAATTAGGCTTTAAAATTGTTCTTGTTACCAAAAAAGGCACTTTTGATACATGAGCTGTATAGCACCGTCTAGTATTGTAGTTACTAATACATGTAAATCATTGTAATAAGATGCATGCTATCTGTATCAATAATTAATTGTCCAAAGATCCTTATGAACTTTCATGCATGCTGTTGCCTCTTGGTGCACACTTGCTTAATACGGACGTACCTTTTTCCACATGCTGATGTATTGCTGCTAAATATTACACAGAGCCGCCCACCCCTATTGCTCCGCCGCAACTTTTAAGAGCCGGTCCCACCTATCTGATTGTACAACTTAACACTCGCTCTATCACGGGTGATGGGCCCATTGTGCGCAGGGAGATCGAGTACCGCGTGAGTGGAGGAAGTTGGCGGGAACGGCATGCTGTCACTGCGCACACATACAAACTGTGGCACTTGGACCCTGACTCACAGTATCACATTTCTGTGCTACTTACTCGCCCTGGGGAGGGAGGCACTGGGAGACCTGGACCAGCCCTCATCAGCCGGACAAAATGTGCAGGTAGGTGGCTAAAATCATCATATAATTATTGATATGTTAGGATGTGAATATTATTTAAGTTGCTATTCTGGAAGACTGTAGAAGAGCTGTAAGTTATGTTATAGGAACCACAAAGCATTCAGTAAATAGAGAGGAGTGAGATATGCTGAACTGCGAGGAGGTTTAAAAAAAGAACAGCAGGGCTTTGTTATGATGTAAAGATGCTCAATGCCATAGCTGTTGGGTATTATTGTATTTCTGGCAAGCTGAATGGCACATCCGAACAGCTGTAGACTACCATTTATTCAACCAGTTAGGGCATGAGTTCACAGTTTTGCTTTCGACCTGACTGTGTCTCTTTATTACATCTTTTCAGAGCCCATGCGAGCGCCTAAAGGCCTTTCATGCACAGCTGAGCAGCCACGCCAGCTGACTTTGCACTGGGAAGCAGTCGGATTCAACATCACCCGTTGTCACACCTACTCTGTAACACTCTGCTACCACTATGAATTAAGCACACTGCAAGACTGTGTGACAGTGGAGGGAGGAGCCAGTCATTATACTCTCCGAGGTCTACCTCCATATAGTGCCATCCATTGCCGCCTTGTGATTTCCAACCCTGAGGGAAGAAAGGAGGGCAAAGAGGTCACCTGCTATACACAGGAAGATGGTGTGTGAGATACCCCAGTTTAACCTGGTTATAGTTATATGATGCAGATTACTTAGTCTTTCCATAAATGTGTAGAAGCATGCAAAAATGTAGAACTCTTTATTTTGTTCTTCAGTTCCAGGGGCTATTGCCTCAGAGTCTCTTGCCCATACCGGTATAGATGATGCCATTCTGATGTCTTGGGATGAGCCTGCTGAACCTAATGGGATTCTCACACAATATGAGGTGCACAGATTTATAATGAACATTCTTCTTGCTCTTTATTGTTGTAGTAAATTAAGGTTTTAATAGAGTGATGTGATGGTCCTTTTTAAGTTATTTTTCTTTATGTACATATACATATTTCTACTAGTAGTTATTGCATTATAAAGGCTGCTTTATACAGCTACCTTCTGTAAAAATTACGGAAGGTCATATATTAGGGGCAGTATTATCTCAGTACCCACTGAACTTTCCTATTAAGATTCTGCTCATTTGATTTTTTATGCCACATATAGCAAATATTCAAGGTAACATATTCCTGTAGACAGCGTATATTATGCCTGTGCAAGGCCAAATTTCTGCATAGACAACCTTGACAGTAGCCTAGGGTGGAAGGGCAGTGAAAGATGGCACACAGCCACCTACAGATTATGTTCTTGACAGATTCCCGTCTATAATAAACTTTTTCAGACTACTGTCCTGCCTGACTCTGTAATGTTTGTGTATTTTAGTTGGTGGAATAATGTATGAACAGATCATTTACTCTGGGTATGTGTACCAAGAATCCAACAACTAACAGAGTACGCAACATTGTTACATAGTTATATAGTCATGTTGAAAAAATACTCAAGTCCATTGAGTTCAACAATTATTGCTACTCTTTTAGTAGACCCTGAATGTAGTGAGGCAGAATGGACAGACTGTTTAAGACTAGGCAGTTGACTTCGGCAAAAAGAGAGTGGAATGCAACAGTTGGCCTAGGGGCAGGGATAAGGTCATGCATGTTTTATTTTATTTGAGTTTAGGTCCAGGTGTATATGCATACATTATTGCTAAAACTTGACAAATATTGGTATTACTACAGTCATATATGTCAGCTCATCACAATAATCTATCCTTTCCTACAGCTCAGCTATCAAATCATTGAATCCTCAGATCCTGCTGTAACTGTGCCAGGACCACGTTCCACAATCTGTAAACCTCCTAACGAAACATCTCAGCTTCTCACGAACTTGCATCCAGGAACTACTTACCTTCTTAGTGTACGTGCACGCAATAGCAAAGGCTATGGGCAAAGTGCTCTTACTGAGCTGACCACCAATATTTCAGGTACCTATTCGCCATCAGTCTAAGATGTTCTAATGTCTATGTGTGTCTATTAATTTTCTTGAACAATCCACAGATCCTTTTTTCAAAGAAATCTAACCTACTGGGTTCAGTTCTTTTTTGTCCATTTTATTTATCACTGGAACAGATATCTCCATCAAAAGATTTACCCTCACTTTTTGTTCCAGAAGCTACCATAACATTTTTGATTTCCTATCAATTTCTGTCCAGGTGAAAAGGGTCACTAGAACAAATGCAAAATATAGATTTTCCCTGTAGGGAAACAGACAGCAATAAAAACCGGACAGAGGTTTTAACCGTCTCTATCCAAAACTAACTAAAGTTTTTGCTGTAGATACAGTTTAAAGCTGAACTTCAGCGATAAATATTTATACAGTATATACTTGCATTGGTCCAGCTTGGCACAGTGTAAGTAAACGTAAATTATCCCTAGCTGGGCCACAAGGATCCTGTAAAACATTGTAGTAGCTGAAACAACTACAGTGATTTACAGAGATCTTCTGGGAACTTTCCTACTGCTGTGAAAACACAGGGGGTTGCCCGCTCAGCACAGCGGCCATTCAGTGAACACCTAGTATATTTATTATGGAATGCTAGGCGGTCTCTGATTGGATGAGGGGCAGTGATGTCAAGGAGTTGGCTAAGATTCTGAAGTGAAGGAAAGAGCAATATATCTTCTTTGAAAAAACGTTGTGTCTAGGTATTTATGGCAACTCACTATTGCTGTTCATAGGGAGTGGTGTATTATGGTTTTGTGCTGCCCTAGGCAAGTCTAAACTAGGCTGATCCAGCTGCGCTCAGGCTCTCCCTTCCTCCCCTGGGGGTCCTGGCACCAGTCTTTGGCCGTCCATTTCAAAGCTCTGCTGCTGAATGACTGAAAGCAGGGGGCTGTCTCCCCCCCCCCCTTAGCCACTTCCTTCTTCTCCTCGGGTAGAATGGAGTCTTGTGAAAGCGAGTGCAGTGGTCAGGCACTCTTTTGGCTGTTGCCACTGACTGGGTGACATTTTGCCTTGTTTGCCTTGCGGTGGATACGCCTCTGTTTATAGGTATGAGCATCCTTTTTTGACCTGATTAACATTTCTGATCTGAATAAGTAAAACACAGGGTGACTTGAATCGCTAAAAGGACATGAACAATTAAATGTGACTGCAGCACTAAGTGGCTATAATTGATTTGGATATAATCTGATTATTATATCTCTCAATATACATTTTTATTTACACAGGAATGCAAAAAAGAGAAAACAACTAAAATTCCATCTAAATATGAAAAGCAATTTTGTGTTCCTTCTGATGACTGTATGTGTTTAAGATGAAGTATTTATATTAAGCTGGCAGCAAGGAATGCAAGTAACTACAGAAAGGGGGTGTTTGAAGGCATGTCAGAGCCCGTGAGTTTCTGTAGACATTAGTTATATCTTACTTACTTTATGAACCATATCTGTAGCGTTACCACTTATTAAAGACCGGGGGGCATAACAGGAGTTTATCATGATGTTTATGACATGATAGTAGCTTAACATTGAATAAAACAAATTAGGCAATAGCTGTTGGTTTAAGGGAGCCCTTTATCGGCAGAGCTGCCAATAAACATTCAGTTTGGGATCATGGAGACATTTCCTGGTGGCAGGTGAACTGGTCTTCAACAGATTTGGTCATCCACAGTGAAATAACAACCCATAGTTAGTTACCAATCAGAATATACTTGTCAAGTACCTGATGTGATCCTGAGATGACGAGAAGAACCTTCCTTTGCAGCACTGGTCTGTTCGCCCCTGAGAGTGGGACAGGGGCGGACGGACTGTGTGAGGCACGGTCATCGCTAGGTAGAGATGCTGAAGACACGTGGAGCCAAACACCAGGCAAATAGTCAGTCAGAAGCATGCAGGATACCAGCTGAGTAGGTAAGCAGAGTCAGAGCTGAGCTTGGTCAGTAACTTGGAAGCAGTGCAATGTAAAATCGGAAGGCAGTAGCTGGGTCAGGACAAGCCGAGGTCAAGTCATGCAGGATGAAGCGGTATCAAATCAGCAGACAGGAGTCGGAGTAGTGGAACAGGTGGAGAGCAGCAGAGGTTGAACTGGGTCAGATACAGGAGCAATCAGAAATCAATGCTGGATACTAGCTGAAGAGCTTTCAGTACTGAGTGCATGCAGGATGCGTCTCACAAGCGCATGTGCAGCGGCTCTCACAGTACCTGTTGTGCGTCTGCTTGCTGAATTTCCCTGACAATACTGTGCCCTTCTAATTGCAGTAGATGGAAAAGCCACCACTGGAGAGACTAAAATGTATGTAGGAAAAGGCACCTCTGTTTTCTAAGGAAAGCCTGATTTGAATTATATTGATAATAGCAACAGCAACATACACAACTCTAAATTCAGATGCTAACTAAGGTCCCAAAAACTCCTTGCAATGTCACATGCATTGTGAGTGTGTCACTTCTTACAATGTTCTCCAGCAAACCAACAAATTTGTGATAAAGTGAAAATTTCTTTATTCTTGTATGATTGCATATAAGAATGCTTTTCTATGTGGTCCTTCAAGAATCAAGAGCTTAAAACTTTAAGGCCCGGCTCACACCTGGGCGTTTTGTAGCGCTTTTGAACACTCTGCAAAACGCTCAAAGACCGAAATCCCATTATTTCCTATGGGTATGGTTCACACCTGGGCGTATTACAGGCCGTATGAACGCGCTACAAAATGTTTCCATTGGGATACAGCCAAGTAGCCCTCGGAAACGCGCGTTTTTTTTTGCCGCGAATCGCGGTAAAAATGCACGTCCCGAAACGCGCATATTCGATACGCCTAGGTGTGAACCCAGCCTTAAACAAGCTTGTTGATATGCTGGCAACATATCCATGTGACCAGGTGGAGTCGTTGCAGCACCCTCCTACATAGTCAGTTCCAGTATGGTGTGCAAGAGGAATATACTCCATGTCTCAGAACTAGGAACATACACAGTTGCACATTTTAAGTTCTTTGCTTCAAGGTTTATTTCACATTCTCACAGCAAGAGGACTTTTAAAGACATATTAAAGCCACTAACAAAATCTGTCCACACTGCAATATGGAAATTGTATAAAACTATTGATATATTATAGAATGTACAAGAATTGAATACATGAGAGCAACACTCCACACCCCAGCTATTTAGCTGGAGGGACAGATGATCATAGTAATAGCTTAGGCAATTTTTTGTAGCCTGGTACAGGGATAGCAGATATATTACACATAACTTTCTTCAAGTGTATAAATATATAAATGTTGGCCAAGAGGAACTAGTGAAAAGGTATTTAAATAGTGGAAAGAATGAGGGATCTATGGTATGTCTTTTCATGCTTTTTGTATGCTGAAGGTAATATATAATACTGCATATTGTGTTCTAACGGCAATATTTTTGCTGTGGGTTAAAGGCATTGCATTGTATAAAATTCCAGTAATTGTCAGCAATATGGGTCACTTTTATAACAACTATGTTGCCGTTTTCTCCCTCTAGCACCTGCGTTTGATTACAGAGACCTACCTGCACCAATTGCTGAAACTGATCAAACCATTACGGTTCTTTTAAGGCCCGCACAAGGAAGAGGATCCCCTGTCAGGTACATTTTTCTGCCATTTTCCTACCTTCATTAGATATGTCTTTTTAACTGTTATTTTTATTGATTTTATTCCACAGCACTAACATATTCAGCAGCATTTTACTAAGAACGTAGATCCATTCGAATCCCTCCTTATCTGAAAGGGTTTTTTTGTGCTATTTCTGCTAAGCACAGAAATAATCAATTCCTTTTCCATGACTCTGCCTTCCTCTAAAGACCCAGCCCTTTGTCCCCAAATGTTACATTGCTGAAAAATTAAAGTGTATATCCAGCCCAAACTTTTTAGTGTTGGATCAAATTGGAAAGGGATAAAATCCCCTGTCAGGACTTAACTGCAATGCGGGCCTCTGTGAGAGAGATTTCCCCTCACGGTGATGACAGTTCAGTGACGTGCGGTACCTTTTTGGTTTCGGGTGGGGCATTCCCCAGCCTGCCGAAGCCCTGCCCATATCACATCATAGTCCTACCCCAGCCCATCCGAAGCAATGCCCCCAACACGGTACCCAAGCTAGTGTGAAGGACGGAGGGAGGAGAAAGGAAGGAAACAGGGAGGAGCCTTCCTGTCCCTCACTTGCTCATCAGTGCTGAGGCCTCCGTGGTTTTTCTTTTCTTTTTTTGATTAGTCAGGTTGGACCAATGGCGCTTTGCCATTGGTCCAAACCATCCACAGAGCTTACGCCTCTAACACAGAGTAGAGGCTGTGACAGCTCTCGCCTCACCAGGTTAGGTTACACAAGCAGTGGGGAAGCCCACTGCTGTTTAACCTAACTTCCTGTTAAAATCAGGATGCAGCACTGCCTGTAATTAACAGGCAGCGCTCCGTCCATGACAGGTTACACAGCGGGGAGGCTTTCCCTGCTGTGTTACCTGCTAGAAGCCGATCTGAATGGAGAAAAAACTGTCAGCTTTAGACTTGAAGCTGACAGCTTTTTCCTCCATAATACTAGGTGAGCTCTGCTTCCCCTGACCGCATGTCCCTGTGACAGTTTCACCAGACAGGAAGCAATGAAAAATCTGCAACATGGGCATAGACAGCAATAGTACAATATACTTCTAATATTTTGTCAGCTATGTCTTCTGTGAGAAGATCCTGTGCCCTCTTTGCTACTAAAAATTTAGTACAGCTCAAGAAAAGATATGGTAGAGTTGAAAGTGTGAGGCATAGCAAATAGTTTATCAAAGATATTGGCTTTAACCCTTTCACTGCCAAGCCCCAAGCTGGCCAGACCATGTTTGCAAATATAGCATATCATTGATGGGAAATATAGTTTTCCATGCCCTACATTGTAGTTCCACTAAGCAGAGCAGCCTGTAATTTACACAGACTGCCTATAGAGCACAGAGGTAACCATGTCAAAAGGAGCCATGAGAAGATGGAGAGGACAGCTAAAAAAGTAAGTATCTCAGTTCATATACAGCAACTGCATATGCCTGCTACTTGTACACTTGGTGTACATTGATAGCATGTGTTTTAAAAAAAATACTGCTGCAAGTGAGTCTGTTAATTTCCTTCCACCCTTCCTTGATCCCCTCGCTCTTCTCCAAGAAGCTAAGGCTATATAAGTTCTCTTGCCTTGCCGAATAAAGTGGGTAAGAGCTTGGCTCAGTACTGTAATATCTGCATGTTTCAGTAGTAATCTGGCAAAGATCATTTGAATTAGGTGTATTCTACCAAAGAGTAAACCAGGCAGAGACTCCCACAGAATTAGCTTTTTACATATCTTAATATTAAAGGGTTATATGTAGAGCGGTGAGGGTGTTTTGACAATTTTCAAGCCTAGATATGTTATATGTTCTTTAGCTAAGGCAAGGTGGGAAATGTCCTGCCAGAGCTTGTTGTCGGCATTGGTTAAGCAGAGAATGTGTGGGCTGATTTCATTAGGGTTGTGGAGAGTGCTTATGGGAAGAGGAGATCAGTTGGTTGGTAAGTATTTATGTCACTACATATCAACAGAGGATCCAGGTGCAGCACAAGAGGGAGGTTGGGCCGCAGCCAGGTGGCTATCAATCAGGTGCATATAATACTTATTGATCGTAATAGCATGACCACAGGTAGACAGCCCAGAGTTTTTATTTGGCTCTAAATTAGTTTTCATTTAACTTTTCAGCCACGTAGTGGGGGCCCATCAGGAAATTCTCTGCTGCCTTGGCAGAACAGTCTGAGCCTATATACAGTGTGTGTGTGCACGTATATACAGTATGTGTATATGTATGTGTATATATATAAATATATCTATATATATAGATATAGATATATTTATATATATACACACAGTATATACTGTAGGTTGACTGTAAGTTTAGTTTAACAATCATACAAGCTCAACTCCAGTCAGCCACAAAGTGGACAGGCCTTTGCTCTCCTCACATACTGCTGGCCCAGTATTTTTTGTGATAATGTCAGTGTGGGGGCGGCCGTCTGACCAGCGAAAAGAACTGGCTTTGTGGGACCAGGCATTGATAGTGTAGAAAGCCTGCAGGAGCAAGGAATCTGGTAAGTATTCCTGCCTGTTCCTAACCCCCTAGACCAAATGAGCATTAGAGGCTTACTATCTGGTGGATGGGGAAGTAGGGGGTAGTGGAGTACCAGAACTGGATTATTTTGTTTTTGATGAATAGAGATTAGCTTTAAGCTTGTTTAGTAATTGACTACCTTGCCAAAATCTGATATGTATTTTACTACAAAAAAGCGTTTTGTTATTTCACATAAATGTTTGTTGATTTCAGTTTTTATCAGGTGCTGGTTGAGGGTGAAAGTTCCCGCCGGTCTCGGCGTGAGCTTGCTGTCCCGGGCTGTTTTCCTGCGGCAGGTGGATATGAAGAAGCAGAAATGGAGGGAGCCACTAGTTATGTAGGAGCAGAACTTCCACCCAGTGAATTGCCTCGGGACACTCCCTTTATTGTCGGTGACAATCGCAGCTATGGAGGCTATTGGAACCCGCCACTCGATCCTCGGAAAGGTTATCTCATCTATTTGCAGGCCGCCAGCCATCATCGTGGGGTAAGTCTAATAGACAAGTGTGAGCTAAATATAAATCTTGTAACCCAGAAGTAAATGTCTTTATGTATAGGTACTTAGAATATTTAAAAAAAGATCATTTTTGGTATTCACCAGTTTGCAAATACCTACAGCAGGAGTGTCATTTACTTTTGAAGATATATTTGCCAATTTTTTCTTTTTTTTTCTTTATAGGAAACACGTCTAAACTGTGTTAGGATTGCCAGAAAAGGTGACAACCGTATTTATTGTTCCAAAGTGTTATATATTTTTCTTTTACAGCTCTTTTATCCCATTTATTTCTCTATTGATTACTTTACCACCTCCTGCAGTTTTACTAATTTACATATCACTTTAGCTCTCTGTGGTGCTGCCACACATTCTTCTTCCTTTCAAACCCTCTATTGATGTCTTATCCATTTAAAATAGTCTTTGTCCTCTTTCTGTGTTAAGTTTTACAGGCTGTCTATTTGTTTTATTCTGTCTGTGTTCTCATCCTGCTGTTTGATCTCTAGTTATCACCCCAATATATTTGTTCATTGTCTTAATTCAATCTTTGTATGTCATTTTAGATATCTTCTGGTCATACCTTCATAATTTCTATGTTCTTTTACTCTTTGGTAGCTCCCTGCAAAGATAGCCACCGCTTCTCTATGGCCCCACAGCATTCAGAAGAGATGGGACTTGTGCTTGGTATCTGTGCTGGTGGGTTGGTTGTTTTCATCATCCTGCTTGGTGCTGTCATTGTCATTGTACGGAAGGGGTAGGTATCTAAGTATTCTTAATTGTATGTTGCATGGCCCAAGTTATTGTACAGTTTTTCTTTTTTTCCAGTATTTGATGTTCCTTAAAAATAGTACATTACATAAAGTTTTCATACTGTCCTTTTTTTCTCTAACGCTACCAGAAGAACTCAGTTTTCTTATGCATACTATCCGTAAGTATGATTTTGGAAGTCTGAGAAAACCACATTAAATTAGGGTTTATCAAGTCAGGCAAAAGCTTTGGATTTCCAGAGTAAACTTTGTTAAAATCACAAAGAAGGTCTAGCTGTGCCTGCCTGAGGTACCTAAGAATAACAATAAAGATACCCTATCTACTCTCCTGCTGGCTTTGTTAACATCTAGCCGTATAAGTAGTTTTTCGGTAACTTTTGCACTCTTTGCAACTTCTGTTAAAAGACTTCATATCTGGGAAGCTAAAGTCTGCTGGCCTGCCACGGATGGTTGGTCTTTGGGTAAAGAAGAATGTGGTCTAATTATCTCTATTATTCTCCCAGCCATATATTTCATGCAATATCAAGAGTTATGTGCTTTTTATTTTGTTGAACCCACTTTTATACTTTGTGGCAGAAGACTCAAGAGAAATACACCATGTTACTTTATAACTAAAATAGTTCTTAATTTTGGCAGGAAGCCAATGGGTTTGACTAAGTCTGCCCTGCCAGTGCGGCATGAGAATTCCTGTGCTGCAGTTCCTAGGGAACATGCCAAGATCACAGATCAACCTAAGCTACTGCAGGAAGAGGCAGCACTAACATTCTTACACAACTATGGTTCTCGAGGTGAGTCCACTGTTCATGCAGTTGCCACTTCCTTAGGCAAATACTGTAACAAATGCAGATTTGACAGTTGTTTTTTACTTTGCATTGTAAGATTGATTTTTGGTGCAGTCCATGCAGTAAACCAAACACCATGTATAAGTCTTATGACAGTTAAGGACACTAAAGCTAGCAGGAATTTATTTGCTTTTTTTGTCTTCTCAGGGGAGCAACGTGTTGGCTCTGTGACGGAGTCAAGCAGCCTTCTGGGAGGGTCACCTCGGAGGAATGGAGGCAGGAAAGGCTCTCCATATCACACGGGGCAGCTACACCCTGCTGTACGCGTGGCAGATCTTCTCCAGCACATAAACCAGATGAAAGTTGCAGAGGGTTATGGATTTAAACAAGAATATGAGGTATAGTCTCTTGAATAATCTCATCAACTCTGAAAAATGTCCTTGATGGGTCACATCTGACTTGTTAGAAATACTTTTCTATGGTTGTTCCTGAGGATTGTTCAGTCTCTAATGAGTCTCTCATGCCCTCCAGGGCACATTCTAGAACAGACAGAACATGCTCAAGTTCAAGAACAGACCGAATATGCTCTCCAGACCACATTCTAGTAAAGGCAAAGTATGCTTTTTAGACCACATTGTAGAACAGACCAGTGGCGGAACTAATAACCATTCTGCAGGGTCCCAGGTGGGCTGGCCTGGTCGTCGGGATCCCTTTCCCTGTACCTTCTCCCATCTCTTCTTACCTGCTGCTGCTGGGGCCCGGCCTCCTCCACCCCCTCCCCTGTCACCTCTGCCATGCCGCCCCGGTACAGTTGATACCCATGTAAGAGGCCCCCCAGACCCCTCACATGGGTACCGGCCATACCTCCCTGATGGAGGTGTTCTATTAAAGGTTGTGACTACGTTAGAATTTGTGACTGGTGACGTGGTCACATGTTTTAACGTAATCCCGCCCAGTTTTTTGGCGGTGGAATGTGTGACCGCCAATAGGTGAAGCATTCCCGCTTTCCCA